TACTTGAAGCACATTTTGGCTTAAAATAGATTTAACTATTTCTTGCTTTGATAGTCTAATCAATCATTCTGCAAGTTCATTAACACATACTCATAGATTTTTAAAATGAATAACTTTTAAACACGGAAGGGGTCAACTGCATAGAGATTTCTTCTTTCTTTAAATATCTATCAATCTTAATATAGATATTTAAAGCATTAAGTATAGTGTGATGAAAAGGAACCATCAAATCCCATACAGAAGTTTGTAAAGTGTAATGCGCCCAGTAGAGATGATCTCAGAAATATAAAACACGGATTTTAACGACTCCTAATGTCTTTAGCTATCCTTTCTCTTTTTTAAGTTCATTATTATTATTATTATTATTATTATTATTATTATTACTATATTTTATTTTACTTTACTCATTGAGGACTTGATTAAGTACCAATTTATTAAAACGTATTCATCTCACTCTATGATATGTTTCAAAAGTTGTATGAATTTAACAGCCCTAAAGTAATCAAATGATAAAATTTTATTTTAAATGTTCAATAATATGTTTTCACATTGGTATGATTTTAACAGCCCTAAATCAATCAATTAGTATAACAGTTAATCATATTCATCTCATCCAATGATACATTTCAAAAATTGTATGATTTTAACAGTCCTAAATTAACCAAATAGTGTAGCATTTCATTTAAAATGTTAAATCATATTCATCTCATCTAATGATACATTTCAAAAATTTTATGATTTTAACAGCCCTAAATTTATCAAATAGTGTAACATTTAATTTAAAATGTTAGATCATATTCATCTCATTCAATTATATCTTTCAAAAATTGTATGATTTTAACAATCCTAAATGAATCAAATTGTGTAAAAATTCATTTAAATTGTTAAGTCGTATTCATCTCATTCAATTATATCTTTCAAAAGTTGTATAATTTTAATAGCCCTAAATTAATCCAATTGTGTAACATTTCATTTTAATTATTTCGTCTTATTCATCTCCTTCAATTACATCTTTCAAAAGTTGTATTATTTGAATAGCCCTAAATTATTCGAATTGTATAACATTTAATTTAAATTATTACGTCGTATTCGTCTCATTCAATTATATATTTCAAAAGTTGCATAATTTTAATTGCCCTAAATTAATCTAATTGTATAACATTTCATTTAAATTATTACGCCGTATTCATCTCATTCAATTACATCTTTCAAAAGTTGTATAATTTTAATTGCCCTAAATTAATCAAATTGTATAACATTTCATTTTAATTATTACATCTTATTCTTCTTGTCGAATGATACTTTTCAAAAGTGATACACTTTTAACAACCCTCAAAGGCAAAATAAGTTTTAAAAAAAGTAAACTAGCGTTCATTAAATAAGAATTAAACAACTATGAGATTCCATTAACATGAAAGAAATAGTAATATCTTTCCTTTTTTTACCTTCTGATTTCGTGTAATCAAATTATATTTTGATGAAAAATTTTATAAAATTATTATTACTAAATAATAATAAAATAAAATGAATTCTAAAATATTTTCTTTCTTTTAACCTCCATTAAATTCGGCGCTATAAGACCCGATTATGGAAACTGATTATGTTTCTTTTCCACGGATAATTTTATTTTAACAAATGAGAACAACACATTTCAGTAGATCATGCTTTTAAACAAAATATATTTACAAGTACCAAGCTATTTAAGCAACATAGTTTATGCTGTCACGTAGTATAGAGGCAGCTCTTATATTAAAATGTTGTTTTTCCTGCAATGAAATTCATATTGTGGCGAAACAACTTTTACAGATTTTCAAAATAACATCCTTCGCTATGAAAATTTTTTTTCACCCAACATAAGTAGTATAGCAGTGAAACAACTTTAACAGATTTTCAAAATTGTCATTTCATCAGATTTTTTTGCAATCAAAGTTGTTTTTCCCCCGATGCAAGGAGTATAACGGAATTAGAAAATTTTAAAATCGACATGTTCTATTATTTTTCCGTGCAAACAAAGTTGTATTTTTCGCATAATTTTAGTAGTATAGCAGTGGAGCAGCTTTTTTACATTTTCAAAAAATATTTTAATATTCTTATTCAGTTTTCTTTCTCAGCAATATGGAACAATTTTTTTTCCAGTTACATTAGATACGGATCTCAGATATCGTCGCAATACTGATTTCAAATCTACAATCGATTCTTCACTGCAGGTTACAGCTTTTTGCAATTTAATAATATATTCAGAACCAGGATTTTTTTTAAATTCACTGAGTGAATACTATGTGTCCTCACTTCTCTGCTACGTAGGGAGTGGTAGGAAGAAGGCAATAGCGCATTTTAATTTATGATATGATACGTTAAGATCATATGTTTTCCTTTCTTTCTAAGTATTATTTTCTAAAGAGTAGGTATACGTATACGCGTGTACGTAAACCAATGCATCACTTATAAACCTGTACATTCAGACAATAATTAAACTGAACTAAAAATACGAATTTTTAAAACAAAAATAATTAAAATCCATTGCTTCCCGAAAAAAAACTCATTTCTGATTTGAAATTTCCTCGTCTAAATTAAGTAAGATCAAGTTCTTTTATAAATGTAAAAAAAAAAAAATTTCTCCAGTGTAATCAAGAAATATGATTTAACAAATATTTCTTTATAATATAATGCAAGAAAGAGTTAAATTTTGGCAGTTAAATGTCACAACTGCCTCAATTTACCACTGTCCTGCATTACATTAAAGATAATTTATCTAAAATAATTTCTTAGAAGGCAAGTCTTTAAAATTCCTATTATAAGCTATTTAATACAGTATTTAGTTTTGCATTTACATGCAACAAAATCTGCTTATGAATAAATTTCAGAGAACTCATTTTTACTCATTCTAGCTAGATGTGATTTATAACAAAGACATTTTATAAAATATTTCGTTACTTATATTAAAATATTTTTCTACTCCTAAACTCCTTGTTTCACTCCTAAACACCTTTTTTCTCTCCTAAACTCCTTTAAAGAATGTAAAATTTTCAACTAAATTTATTCTTGTATAAAATTAAATTCCGCTAGAGTCACAAACATCTAAATTTTAACTTCTATTAAAATCTAAGACTTAATCAATTTTTACTCCTTTTTTTTGTTTAGGAAAAATAAAACTTTAACAATAAAATACTTATGAAACTTCAAAATAATTGTGTTATACGATACATTCATAACAAAGATTGTCCTTTATATACTTAAAAAGTTAGCAAATATATGATAAAAAGAAAGTTATTTTTTAATATATTCAACCAAGAATTTTTTCACAAAAATCATTGCAAAAAGACTCGAATCATGCGTTTGAATTATTGATATGCTATGAGTGCTATTAAGTGCAAAACCACCATCCTCTCTCTTAGAAGTAGATTAATTTTTTTAATAAAAATATTTAATAGCAATAATTTTGATAACTGTTATTTATGAAATATAATTTCCCCTATTTTTCCTCCACATATATGGAAAACAGCAAGCTTTTTCGTATTTGTTTTTTAATTTAATAATTTCCAGATTTAACTTAAATCCATAAATCAAGAAAGGAGGAATTTACTGCACTAAATTTCATCAAAAATGTGAAGTGAAAGTTAGAAATTTTCACTTCACATTTTTGATGAAATTTAGTGTTTTCTGTAATTCATCTCTTCATGACTTTTTAAGCTTTTTTTACAAACTTTTCCTTTGTATTATTTCCTAAATAAGTAACAACTTGCCACAAGTAATCAAGTTTTGAGATTCTTTATACCTCAAAACTCTTCTCGCATCTGCTTAGAAGTTTAAGATACTTTTTATTCCTTATAAAAAATTTGTATACAATTAATAGCAAGAACAATAAGATGAAAATAATCAACTAGTCAAAATATCAATTTTGTGTATTCTCTCTATATTAAGTACATTGCTTATTTAAAACTTTAAGAAATTGTATGAAACTTAACTATATTTTAAGCTGTTTACTATCAAAGAAATTTTGGAAGAAAAAAATACTTAGCAAATTTTGAAAACTGTGTGTCATTTCATTATTCTGAAATGACATTATGTTATGACATTATAAGCATAATGAATAAACATAATGAATATGCATAAGAGTAAGCATAATGTTATTTCATACATATGACATCATGTAGGAAATGACATTATGCTTTTTCAAATTAAGCTGCATAAATTTAGATTTTTATGTAAAGCTAGTTTCATATCTGAAACGACTTGACATTTAATTTTCAAGTGATTTTCTGTGTATTTCTCTGCTACAAAATAAAAATAACGGAGCCACTTATATGCAATTTTATTTTTAAGCAGTAATTTAATCTCAAAATTATTTTAGAAAAGAAAACTTATTGAAATAAAAAGTTTGAAAGTAATAATTATTTCCTTGGAAAAATGTATAAATGATTATTCCATAAATGCAGAAAGTAATAAATTCAAAAATATCGTGACAAAATTAATTGCAAAACTTGATTTCAGCAGAAGTTACGTTGACTTAAAAATAATTTACTCAAACATTAATCAAAAAAAAAAAGTAATAGTTCTCGTTTTCCTTTAACTTTAAGAAGAAAAAAAACTACAAAATATTTCAGAGACTTGGCATAGTTGATAAGTTTCGAAACTCATTAACATAACAAATTTCATTCCACAAATTAAGAAAAAGCCTATAAATCTGCGACTATCTGAAAAATCAAAATAAAGGAATAATGTATTCCCAATTAACTAAAGAGGTTTACGTAATATTTTCTGGAATAGCTAACTGACCGCTCATTAAGGGTTCGTAAAGCCCAACCTGTTATTTCGATTTTCTTTATTTTTACTTTTTTTCCCCCAATCGCTTCAACATTTTCTTCGTCGTCCTGATGCGACCTTTCCTCGAATAATTACCAAAAAGAAGAAATTTTCTCTCCCGCCTGCTGGCAGGTTGTTTGGACTATCTGACGTCACACATCACCATAGTTACGCAGACGCTTCCCAAACTGCCGGTTTTTTCGAGAGAAACATTCATTTTCAGGTGTCTGTAGCTATCGTCAACAAATGTTCCATACGCAGCCGCCGGTAGCCCAACGCCGGAATCGACGGCTACCTTCCGGCACTATGGTTAGCTACGCGGAAGTAAAGAATTACCTGTCCAAACGTGAAATCCCCCAATTATTCGAAAGCCTGATGGCTGGACTTATGTACCACAGACCAGAAAACCACATAGGATATCTCCAAAGTTGTCTTGACGAAGTGAAAACAAATAGTGAAACCAAAATCCACTGGAGCACATTCGTCAACAAAAAACGAAAGTCCAAAGAAATCTTACCCCCTTTGACCCCTAAGAAGCAAGATTCTTTTAACTCGTCTTGGTCAGACAATTCTAGACAAAGTACACCTTTGCCACCAATTAGTGCAAAAACTGTTCGAACCAGAGGCTCGCCAGATCAACAACAACAGGACTTGAGGAACACATACATATTGTATCATAATCCACCACCTGTACTGGCAAAACCCAAAGTACCGGTGATTTCTGTTTTGGGAGGACTAGGTTCTAAAATTGATGAGTTATGTGAGAAAGCAGTGAGCAGGTTACGTGGGGTGGTGCATATATCCACTTGTTCTATGCTTAAAACTCGTATGACTATTGAAGGATTTTATAGAGTTACTTCCATACCAGCATGTGCTGTTGTGGATTCTGTATTACAGGCTATGTCCATGGTGCAAAGCTCTAATGCCTTAATGGGTAAGTTCAAAAATGTTTAAATTTTATTTCAAATGTACTTATTGGTACATTTTTAATTATAAATTATAATGTGTCATATAGCTCGCAGGTTAACTTCCTTGTTTAATATACTTCATGTGATAGGATTATTTACCATATCATTTTCTTTTCTACCACTTGCGCCATAAACAAAAAATAAACTTTTGAAAGCTTTGAAGTGTGTTGAACCATAAAATTACTCGGACCTTCTGAGCCTTAATATAGTACTGAATTGAACCATACACTGTTAGAAATTTCTATGGAAAAAATGGTTACATAACAATTTATTTAGTTTTTATTTTACCATATTCGCACAAAACAGTCAAATAACCATATATAAGATGGTATTCAAACAGTTAACTGTGAGAAAAATCATTTAATAATTGCTTTTACCTAATGCTATTAAGCAAACAGAATTTCATCGCACCAATTAGACCCACCTAATAAAGCCATTCCGTTAATGCAGTGTTTCCCAAAGTGTGGTACGCGTACCCCCAGGGGTACGGGAACAGTTCAGAGAGGGTACGCGTTCGTATGCGCAATATCTTACAGCAAACGATAATTTCAAAAAATTTTACTTAAAAACAAAGCTAGCCATGAAAATTTGCCATTACGTATTTTTCTATTGGGTATTTTTTCCAAAGTTAACAGTTAATAATTAGTGGTGTCAACAGCCAGTTATGATTTTTAACTTAAGTGCAATTTGTTTATCGTAAAAAATACATTAATTTTTTAATTAGTGGTACACAGCGTTACGAAAAATTTAGAAAGGGTACACAAAAATCATAAGTTTGGGAAACACTGCGTTAATGCATATGGGTACATATTATAGCCGAAAGGGCTAATCTATCAATCCCATGGCCGACAGAGGACTCGAGAGTTCCAGCATGCATGACAATATTTCCTCTCTTCCCTTCAACACATGTAAAATTTCTTGTGTCCCCACTCCCCAATTTGTGACCCTGTATAGTTTTGTATTTATGGCTTTTTAGCCATACTAGTTGTAAGCGGTTTCTAAACCGTAAAGGTGCAGAATGCTCTGTACTGTGAGCTTTACGGTTAGTTGGATGGACAGACTGCTGCCGGTTATTTTACCATAATTTCGGAATGAAAATTCTGACAGTGTATTATCGTATTTCATACAAGATATTATGATACAATTTGAACAAAAATATCGGTAAATTTACCGCCTTATTAAGGCTACAGCCAATTTTCACCGTATTTTGGTTCAAAGTATAGACATTGTAGTTCAACGATGAACTGATTGTTATGTAAGTGTAATATTTTTCTTTAAAATAAATTCCGTTAAAAATAATTCATCAACGCAAAACAAGATTTTTTTGAATTTTAAAGTACACGGTTCCTAATATTTACTATGTTCTAAACATAAAAAAAAGTTCTAAAATGCTGCTCTAAACTATGAAATTTTCCCACGATTTACTTGAACTTGATTCTTGTGAATTTTTTCGAAGATTACAACTTATTTGGCGATAAATTCAGAAACAATTGTGCACAAATATTTGCATTCTGCACTAAGAAAAACAATTATGACCTAAACTATCAGAATATGTTTTCGGCTCTATTTGGACACCGAAAAGTTCAAATTTTTTTTACCGAAGTGCTTTGGTAATGACCTCTTATAAAATCAAAAATAAAATGTAGGTTCATAACATGTGATAAATTTAGGTAAATGTGGTAATATTTGGTAATTTTACCATGATAACTTAGAGCATAGCATAAAATCAAATATGGTTAAATTTTATTTTCAATTTTGTATTTTTTTACTAAATGCGTGGCAACAATTATTACTCTTGGGTAATTAAATAATTAAATTATTACTTTTAGTAATTAAACTAATAAACAAAATACTTTTTCTATTCTTAAACTGCTGCAAGCATCTATTATATATAATTCTCTTACGTGGCTCCCAAATTTTGACTGTATTTCTTTTCCGCCAGTGGCAACGTTTGTTTTGTTTTGAAAACAAAGCATTCTGCCTTTTAATGATGTGTTTCTTATCTAATATATAATTCTTTTACGTGGCTCCCAAATTTTGGCTGAAGTACTTTGTACAACTAAATAAGATTCTTTTCACAACAGTTAAATATTTACTTTCTTTTCTTTTCACAACAGTTAAATATTTACTTTATTTTCTTCATTCATAGAGAAAACAGTCGGCAAAGAATTTTGTTAGGTTAAAAAACATTTCGCTAAAAAAATAACGAATTCTGAGAGAAATAAAAATAAACAACTTAAAAAATAAAAATGCTGTTGCCAGCCATAGAATTTTTTGAAAGTTAACTTAGCAACATAAATCAAAATGACATAGAAGCGCAACTAGATCAAAATTATGATACCTTATGAGACGTAACAAATCCTTCAATTCTAAAAGTGTTGTATCGCCAAATGCCCAAATTAACAATTGTGCTCTTAAAGAAATTCTATAAAAAGTTTTAAATAAACAACCTACTTCTACAACTGCTTCTTGAAGAACTTGGCTCATTGATTAAAAATATTGTTTTAATTTTACAGTACTAACTTAACTTCTACTTTCATTATTGCTATGACCCTCTTTCATTACATTTTACAACTTCATGCTAAATTTGAGGACTTTAAGTTGTTTTGTGGTTGAATACTGACATTTAGAAATGTGTACATAAAAAAATATTTAGAGGTTAAGAGTTGCCTCAGAAAAATTTGAATTGTTGGCATTGAACTTAACAATGGAAACAATCGTTTTTGTGATAAATTGAATTGTATTGTTGACATGAAAACTAAAAATATTGTGTTTCAACTTAACAATATTACCTTAATTTATTAATTGCCTCGGAGAAATTTGAATTGTTAGCAATGACTTAAGCAAAAAGTTTTATTTTAACTGACAAATACTATATTATAATTTTAACTTTTTCTATGACTATACTCATTTTCTTACTCTTTTCTTTGTTTTTTATACATTTTATATTTTTGTGATAAAATAAAAAACTTATAGTTGTTCTGCTTCTGAACACTGATGAAAACACAAAATGATGGGCTTCATCAACAATCAAAAATATATACATTTATTTTACAAATTCCATATTATTAAGGTGGCGCCCTTCAGAGAATTAAAAATACAAAATTATCTTCATCAAAGCCGATGCTTTACATCCGGCGTTCAGTGGCAGACTACTATTTCATATTGTTTTACAACACATGGCTTTAGCCCTCTGGTGGGAAAGACTTTAAAACAAAACTTACAACAGTTACTTTTCTCAACAACTGAAATTTAGAATAGTGTGATTAAGAAAAATATGTGAACTGTTTGCAATTTCAAATTAATATTGAAATGTACAGGTTTAGAATTTTCTACAGTGAAAAGTTTTCGGAACTTCAGTATTCAAAAAAGTATACAAAAGCTAGACGTTAAGAACGTATCCAATGAGCGAGCAAAGCGAGCATCGGATTGCGAAGCAATCCGAAATGAACTGCGAAAGCAGTTCCGGGGGTTGGTGAGCGCCAGCGAGCAGGGGGCGAAGCCTCCTAGTTTTATATAATTTACAATTAGTTATTCCGCACTAATCTTAATGCAATGTTTATATTTTGTAAGAAACTTAGGTCATAGAATTTATAATGTTATATTAAAGTGCAAAAATATGTTTAATTTCCTGATGCTGATTTAATAAAGCAAGCTAAAAACATTTTTAAAATTAATAAATAAAAAATAAAAAAGATTATAAAAAGCAAAATCAATAAACAAATAAAAACCTGTACTAAATATCTTACTTACAATTAAAATCTCGCAACCAGTCCATTTCCCTTGAACAGAGTTTAAAAACTTTAATTTATAACGTGTATCATTTTTTTATGTTATTGTATATTCTTATTATGTTTCCCGGTGAATCAATTAAAACTTTTGTAACATTGCAACTTTGTGACTTTTGTAGCATCAATTAAAACAAATTTTATGTGTTGCATTATTTAGCAGCGTAATTTTGTAATTAGCGTTAAATCATCTTTTCCTTATTTCATTATTACAAGTTCAAGAAAAAAATTTTAAAAAAAGAACAGATTATTAATTAATAAAAATTTAATAATTTCTTTTCCTTAAACGATTTTGCCAGAAATTTAAAAATTGAAGGTTTTAATCTGAATATAAATTTATCATTGTTATAAGGCTCAAAATTTTTATGTATGATTACTTTATTTCACCTTTACTTTATTTCACATTTACTGCATATCATGAAATGTTATTATTTGTTGCTCGTAAATGTAGAAAAAACTATTTTTCCTATTGTTATATTTTATAATTATCAAAAAAAGTTTGCTGTCACTGTTTTATTACGACTGAGATGATGATGTATTCAGTGTCAATCAGAAAATAGATTAGATGATATCAATATAATACTGCAATTGTATTATTAAGCTGAATATTTAAATGGAATTAAATGATATTTTCTTTTTTTTTTTAGTATTAGACAAATTCAAAGGCAACACTGTAAAAAAGAGTTTTTCAAAATTTTGCAAAAACTTATCAAAATAGTTCCATAACAAATGCAGTTGAATTTAAAATCCACGTACTCATTATTAAGTATAGTGGCTTGCTCAAAATTGAATAGTCTCAAAAATTGCACATTATAGCAAAATTACGCATCCTCAAATGTAACGAAGTTCAAACTTTATTTGCGTTTAACGATCAAATACTCGGAAAGAAAATCTAAATGAGATAAAAGTTTACCGTACTTAACTTCATTCCAAATTTCTTTCATGAAAGAAGAAAATCTTTTGATTAATAATCAACCTTTTCTTACTTCAACGCTATGGTTATTTACAAATGACGAATTCTAAGACCTGTTTCAAGCTTGAGCAAGTCCCTATTCTCAATGATTAGTATATGGGGTTTTCAAATTCGACTGCATTTATTTCGGAGTTATTTTTACATATTTTTGCTCTAGGAGAAAAAAAAACATTTTACAGTGAATAGATGTATAAAATTTTACTTC